TTCTGCTCTTCGTTCCTTAGGTGTCAAATTACGGTTTGGTCAAAACTAAGAACCTGAAAATATAAGATTGGTTACCATTATATAGCCACTCAGAGTTCATATATACCTTTAACATTTGTAATCTGCTCAAATTTTCACCTACATTTCTATTTTCAAAAAATATTGTCACGGAAAGTCCTTGGATTCAATTAAGTCGCCCATTAACATGCGTTTCATTTTATAGTTGGTTCTGACTCTAAATTCTAACATACTTCATCATCAAACATATTTGATTGAACAAATATGTGGTGAACTTTTCTTTCAATATTATGATCTACTTATTATTCTATTAAAGTAGTTCGATCCTAAAATTAAAATTTTAAGCCGTTAACTTGAATGGAATCAGACAAAATGAAGTTAGTCTAAGAAATACTCCAGCAATGTTGTATGCCTCATGCATCATTTTATAGTTGCACATTTTTCCAATTGTTGAGCCATCTTTTCACGCAGTAGTATATTCCATAACAAGAATATTTTCAGTTGTTTATTATGTAGTCGTGAAGATTGTTGAGTTTCAGTGAAATCGTGGATCCATCAATTTTAGACCACCATTATAAACTTGGAAGAACTGGACGGTCGTTTCGTCCTAGTATGGGACTCATCGGTTTTGCCCATACGTGATGCCTGCAAGCGGAAATCGAACTCTGAACCTTCAGTTTCGCGCGAACGTTTAATTTCTTGACCATCGAACCGGTATCCAACGGTGTTATTGTCTAACTTCAGTAAATCCACGATATTGCGTGGTCTCATCCAATGTCTTCGGTGGGTAACTGTTTCATACTGGACACGGTTGAACTCCACTGGTCATGGCTTCTCGCTAGAACTCCGAGAATTTCCTCGAGAAGCTAATCACTAATGAGCGCTTAATAATTTTCATTATAGGGTTGTGAAGATTTCAATGAAATCCTACAACTTCCACAACCCTATTATGAAAATTACCATGTGCTCGTAAGGAAATTTACAGTCTATTAAGTCAATCCAGAACTATTACAATGATCATATAAATAACACGAATTAAGTACTATTCACTGTTAACTGACAAGTTTTGTCATGAAATGACGAACCAATTAATATTAAATAACAGAAAATTATCAACTATTCAATGGTTACAAAAATGAACGAAATTGATATCGGATTATTTGTGATTATTTGCTACCATATTATTACTTAACTTATTAGGTTGAATAAGTGGAAATCAATGGAAATTATTTGCTGTCGGTAACGAGCTTCGAAATTGTACAAAAAGTAAGTAAATAAACCTATATGTTATGGAGTAGGATATCTGTTCCATTATAATGACTGACTATAATCTGATAAGAATAGATATAGAGAGATAAATCGAATTACTTCCGAACTTCTTTGAATTCTATGGAAATTTTACAGAGGTTTGAAACCAATAATGATGGAATTCTAATGAGTTGTGAACAACGAAGTTTAACCATATTGATTGTTAGATAAATATTGATCACAGTAATGAATGATAGTCTCTATCTATATCCTTTGTCGACTGAAATTAGAAATATAGACTGTCATGTACCATACTACATTGTAAATGTCAAGCACTCAGTATGAGAACCCAACGTCTTGGGTTCAATCGCAGACGATCACTTCAAAGTGTAGTCTCTGATGTGCTCGTCAGTTGATATGCTTGAATGCTATTACGAGTTCACCGTACTCTGTAAACGGAACGAAGACAAATGATGCAGTGGCACGATAGGCTATTCTAATCCTGTTGTCCCAGCCCCAGCTAACTATATCAAGACGTCTTGATAAGGCGTAGAGAATGTATTTTTAAGCACCCAGAAAATAGGAAGTCAACAAGCACACAAATCGAGCTTATTTATACATGACAGAAAAGTCCTTAGGAGAGCCACAAAAATAGCGTGCTAAAATAATCCATCAAACAACGACAGTCAAGCATTTTCCGAGTGGGAAATGTAATCTCAAGGTCAACTAAGCGACTTATGCGCGAAAACATAAACAATCCAGAACGAGGACATTTTCCAAGTGAGTTCTGGGAATCTAACGTCTTCAGCAGTCTCACATAAAGATGAAACAACTGTTTAGTATTTTTAAATTTTCGAAAGATATTCAACTGAAACCAAACTGTGATGTAAGACGACAAAGTAACAACAGACCATGTGCATAATGCTATCTATATTAAATTTTATTTTTCACTTACAAATTGTGTTCTTAAAAATAAACTTTCACTGTTTAGTTAGTTTTCATCTTACTACTGAAATGTTAGTAAATTAAGACAATATCAATACATCTCATAAGATCAGTCAGGTGAATTATCAATAACTTGAAAAAATTCCATCCTAAGATTGATGACTTGTATGAAATTACTTAAAATTTATAAAGTATTAAGTCGTTTATTGGTTTTAATTACAAGAAACCTCAGTGGTGTAAATACATAACTTCATTAGTAATCAATACCAGATACTCATGGCAAGAAAGTTAACTTTAAACTAATTAGTTGCAACTCATTAGCTTCTTAAACAGTCATAGAGTTATCCACAAATAGGATAGTATAATTTCTATTTAATATTGCAAACTGATTATAGTCAGAAATATAAATCATTGAATTTTAACTGAACATTTGAATAGTAATAAACTGGTTGCTGAACTTGAATATTCTGGTTTTAACCTCCTACAAGGTCATAAGTTTTCAATTCCTGGTTTATGCAATCATTTTGCAGATGAAATCAGTTAGCGATAAATACAAACCATCTATCATTTAACAAACTAATATCATTTCAATATTCAATTGCGACAGCTCAGATTAAACAACAGAATAATTTTAATTCAAACTTTTTCATAATCAATAGCCAATAGCTATTACATAGAAGTTTGTTTAAAGTTAATTAAAAAAACACCAGCACTAATTACATTTCACTATTCACTTATTCAAAATGGATCGCTATTTTAAAAAGAATCATTTGACATATATACCACTTTCATTTTCATCCTTTCATTTACAACAATATTTTTTTACTCATATTAATTGTTAAAAAGAAGAATATTTTAAAAGAACAGAGATGTTATGTTCGTCAATTGATATGCTTGAATGCTATTACAAGTTCACCTTAGTCGGTAAACGAGACCGAAGATAAATGATCCTGTGACACAATAGGCTACTCTAATCCGAGCATCCCAAGGCCTCACTAAGTTGAAGAAAAAGTTTTGATATGACATAGAAAGTGTATTCTACAAGCACCCAGAAAATCCAAAATTAGGACCTTTATCAAGTGATCTCTATGGATTTAACGTCCCCAACAAAAGACGATGATCATCTTTTCGCCTTAAAATAATTACATAAAAATTGCTGCTTTTGGCTAACTCACTTTGTGATTATCAGTTCACTTGCTATTATGAACCAAGTTAAATTAAGTGTACAATGTGCACATTTTCCAAGTGTATATTCGAATGTTGTTCTACCTGCTATTTTAAAAGAGAATGCAAGTCAGACAGTGGATTAGTTCTTCAAGGTAAAGTCAACTCTCGTCACCTTCTGCTAAAAGAATCTTCATTATCTACAAAATCAAAAGAACTGAGTCAAAGAAATGTGTGCATGGCTGAATTCAAAGCAATTCCTTAATTTAAACTCAACTTCTGTGTACAAGCGAATCTATCTTAGCCTTAACACATCAAATTTGATGTATCTTTGATATCGGTTTTTATTTTAATCTTCAACTTTTTCATCTTTGTTAAGTAGATAATTATTGTTTAGGTTATTGGTATAAATAATTACCTCTTATCAGTTTTAAAATAACTTTATAAATCATATTTTATATTTAATAGTAAGTGTTATGGATTGTTTCTGATTAAACAACCATTGAAAACCAGTAAGCATTGGAAAACTGTTTTGTTATGGTTACAATCTCAACAGTGTCCATCCACAACCCTACTCTCAGGGACTCAACTGAAGACCTTCATTTTTGCCCACAAGTGCTCAACCTCTAGATCACTGAAATAGTTTTCAATAGTTTACATGACTAACGTCAATCACTTGTTTAACTGAAATCAGTCCTTGATGTTAACTAAAAAAAATTCAAAAATTTCCACTAATCCTCTTTCGTAATTAATAATCATGTTCACACCAGTGACCAATTTGAAAGGTAATTCCTGGGTTCTATTGACAAAATATAGCTAGTTAAGTTCAGTCATGTCAAATATGAAGGAGTTACCCATCAGTTACATAGGAAGATAGTTGAGTGGTACTATGAACTAATTGAGGTCAAACATATAAACCAATGGATGTCAACTCAGTAGTCTAGAGGTTAGGAGCTTTTGAGAGTAACTGAAGGTCTTGAGTTCGATCCTTACTGATGAGGGTTTCTATACTAGGACTAAAGAAATGTCTGATGCTTTCTTGCTTCCAATGATTGCTTAACCAAGATCTTTCCATAACATAAACCATGAAAATCTAAAAATCTTTATCAACTCCTAATTACATTTACTACTTCGAGACTTGACCATTTTTCACTGCTTGGTTAGATGACACACCACACCTTCAATTATTATAGACTGCCATGAGTTTGATTGTACAACTTCAGTAAGCAAAATCGTTGAGATGAAAATTTTGTTTTATGACATGATCAGTATATTTTACTGCTTATAAAAAAGAAATAATCCAGTTAATTTGTGAAAATCCTACCATAGCAGTAAAATTTACGATAATTAGTGTAAAATAAGATTTTCGCTCGAATAAATTTCTCCCTATTTAAAACAGGGACAGAAATTTTATTCACAAACGGCTTTAATTTGATTGGTCGGATAAAATCATCCAATCGGAATTTTAACTACAAGTTGGGAAAATTATTCTTAGCCTTGTTGTATGTATTTAAGCGTTTTGCTTATCGTTAGACAACACAAAGCGGCTCATACACAACAAATTTGTCTTTAATTCATAACAATTTAAACTTTGGAATCGAATACTTTATTTTATTGTAAAAAAAATGATGTCAAATGGTCCAGAAGCGATTCCTATTGTTTTACATCAATCAATTAATTCATTGACAAATTTGGATCCGATCACAGCTAGACGAATTGCACGATTAATTAAATCTACAAAATGTGATAATAATAACAATAATAATAATAATACTCAATCAAATATTGTTGGATTAAGACGACCTAAATGTGCACGATGTCGTAATCATGGATTAATTGCTTGGGTAAAAGGTCATAAACGTCATTGTGCTTATCGTGATTGTCAATGTTCACAATGTATATTAATTGTTGAACGTCAACGTGTTATGGCTGCCCAAGTTGCATTAAAACGAAAACAAGCTGTTGAAGATGTAATTGCTATGGATTGGCAACATTTTAATCAACAATCATTAGAAAATGTTAATTTACAATCAACGACAACAACTAAGATATTCAATGAATCATCAAACACATCAATTAATCAATATGAGAAAAATTACCCTCATCAATTAAATAGTCAATATAAAGTTGATGAAAAGAAAATATGGGAACAAAAACATCAATACGAATCAGTACCTATAACTAGTAAGTCTAATTTTTTTGGCTTTAAAAACTATTACTTAAAGAAAAATTTAGTTAGAAATTATTTATTACTCATATGGTGAACGATTTAAAAAAATATCAAATTTATCAGTAATAATAATAATAAATTTTTTATTCAGTACTATGGATTTTAGTATGGTCAAGAATTCTCAGCACCAATTGGACATAATTGTAACACAATTAATATACTTTCAAATTTGAAATATTGGAAAACATCTTTGAATGTACCTGCTCGTTAGTTAGAGACCTTGAACGAGATGGCTCAGAATCGTTTGCAATGGCGCCGGTGCATCCACTCTTTGTGTTCTCTCTAGTTCTGACCTTCTGAATTCCTCATAATCTCTATCTTTTTCCTTCTAAATTTATCTTACTGAATTATACTTCTCGAATCCTATCTTCGCTCCCTAATCTCCTCCATTGCTGCTAATAATTCTACTATCACTATCACTCTTGGATTTGAACTGACAGTTACGTCTCTGTGCTGACGTGGTATGGCAACGTGAACTGATGTACTTATGTACGAAGTTCTGCGTTGTATCTGTCTCTGCTCGTTAGTTGATATTATATGCCGTTCATATTCAATCATGAAAGTTTTTCCGTTAATTCAGTTCCACAAAATCATCATTTCAATCTATAATGAATGAGTCCTAGCGTCGTCGTCTATTCTTTCTTTGTGGAGAAAAAGCTGTCAACAGATAGAGTGCTTCTGTTTGAGTTTTCCAGTACTTAAACTTAGAATGGAATAGAGTAGGCCAGGAGTACATAATGATAAAGTTTATGATTAGTCATTATAAGACAGATTTGAAACGCTGTTAGGCTAATTCTATGATTTGTACAGCTGAAAAGAAATAGTGTCTCAAACATTTGAGTAAGATATCAAAACAGAAATAAAATTCATCATTTGATTAGAGTTCTTGTAAATTACTTTTCTGTTAAAACCAACGACTTGTCAGTTGTTTTTAACGCTTACTTTCTGCCGGCTTACAATTTACTGACCGCTGAATAGGGACCATTGTCATGTACATCAAATCCTTCTTGGTCGAAATGTATTCACGAGTTAAATGATTAAGCATAGAGCGCACTATGCAGAGATGGATAGCAATCTTGAATGAACCGACGCTCCTTGGTGGATTTGACTCCTTCTCACCCAGATTCACGTTCAAAGACGTTATAACTTAGCTATTTGGGCCAACTCCGACTAAGATGGTAGATTATAAGGGAATGAGTTCATCGGGAACGATCGTTTCTCTGAAGATTACAAGTATACATTACTCAGTCCCGTATAGAACGCAACTTAGGTCTATGATTACCTGTTCATTACATTCAATCTCCCCCCTTAATGTTTAAGTTAGTTTTTTTCATTCGTGAAAAGTTCACTTATCTATCCGAATTCTTAAGTAATTAATTCTTTTTAATATATTCATACTAACTACAAGTTATTTGGTATACCACCTGAAAATAGGTAATCGAAAGATCATAGACACATAATTGTATCAGAATAATTATTTGATTTTTTAAAAAAGATTTTATTGAAACTTTTCAGTCTTAAATGAATTAATAATATGAAGAAAATATATATATATATATATATATTGTTATAATTAACTAATTAGTACATTTTTCTATATTCAATGTCCAAAAATCTTCATATCAACGTTCAAATACAGAATAACCAATATTTATCATTGAATATATAAATCCGAGAAGTAAAATTTTGTAATTTCTCATTTGTGATAATTAAGACTTTAACTAAATTAGTCGCTGTTACCGTAAGCTTATTGTAAATACACTGAATCGAAATAACCTTTTACCACAATTGTCTAATATATTTGATATGTATGACTAACAATGATATTGATGATTTGTGTTACATCCTATTTCAAACTCATCATCCTAGCGTTATTGCTCATAATGAGACTGTTGATACAGTATTATGTTATGATCTGAATTTCATTGCTAACTTTGTACAAAATGCACTGAAATATAAATTTAATATTCATATCAATATATTTGATTAGAATCAAAAATCGATACTAGAAAATCACTTTTAAAAACATATTAAAGATTATTAGAAATTGGTGGTAAATTGACAAAGTACACGTTAACTTTTAATCTTCAACTCCAAACTTTCAATTTTTATTGTTTGATTTTGTTTCAATATTACTTACTAACATTGAACGATTTGAATTGTGTTCACAATTCATAGATTTTTACCAAGATTTTGAGAAGTTCATCTCAAAGATAGTTACTATTGTGTAAATTATTAAAAGTATTGTCAAAAAAAGTGATTAATTGAAGATGCAGCTACTTGTTCGATTTATCAATATCCGTTAAACCAACGAACATTGAACGATTCTTTCGTCTTACTGTAGATCTTATAAGTAAATACTCATCATTGTGAAAGCTAGACTTAACCTAAAATGATTATAGGGTGATATGGTGAAAAATCCACTCCTAAAAGTATTTGCAATACCAAAAAATCATGGTTTCTTGTCATAAAAATATCTTCCAGCTTTATTTGTTCTTGTTTCTAATCGACCTAACTCACTGAATCTTATTTTTTTTTAAATATTATTAGACGAACAAACAACGACTGATGTAGTAGAAACATCAGAAATTCTTTCAAATCTAACATCAATCAATTATTCTCCAACAAACATCTCATACGGATTTCATAATAATCATCCTTATATTAATAATAATAATAATAATCCCATACAATCATCTCTAAGTGACATTCATCACGATGATGTTCCCAACGATGACGATCATGATACAGTACGTCCAACAGCAGAAAGTAGTCCAATAACAAAACAATCAAGTAATAATTTATCTTCAAGTACACTATCGAATCCACGACTAGATGAATTATCATCATCAACATCATTTCATTGTTTAACTAAATCACCAAATTCATTTCATTTATCTCTTATAAATAAAAATATATCCAGACAATCTACTCAATCACAATTATCTCCACCATCAACATCGTCACCGCAAACACAACAACAAACTACTTTGAATCCAATGAATGCTTTTTATTCAAATGAAACAATTCGATCTATTCAAGAACCAGCTAGAATTCTATCGAATCTATTTGCTCATTTACCGAAACCTTCAGAATTTCTACAAAATTCTAATCAACATTTATGGTTGAATAACCCTATGCATAATTATCGATTACCAATACAATATTCTGATCAGAATAGTGGGAAAATTAATTACACGAATAGCAATAATAGCAATAATAATAATAGTGTAGTGTATAAATCTTCATTTGAAGAAATTTGTACAAATGTTAAACAAGCGCATGACAATTACCAATTAGGTCATCAACATTTTCCATTACAAACATCTGTATTCGTCAATACAATTGGATCCAGTTCATTGCAATTTTCATAATCGTTTTAAGAAAAAATTTTAATCACATTTATGAATAAAGTTAAATGATCAATGAGTGAAATCATTGTTAACCATTGTTTTATTATTATTATTATTACTATTAGAATCTTATTGTTTGTTTTTTCTTCAACGTTAACTTATTTTGTCTGGTATATTATAATTTTTATTGGTAAATTTATTAAAATATCAAACTAATTTTCGTTTGCTCTCTTTCCTAGTTTATCTCTGACAATTACTTGCTAACTCATATTGTATCAGTTTAAATGTTTATTTGTCTCTGAACTTGGTATTTTCTACACGTAGTTCTTATTTTTATTGTCTCTTCTTAGAAAAAGGATATTTTATGATGCATTTATATTATACATATATATAATTGGATGTATTTATTTTTCTAATATACATAAATATATAGATATATACGTTAATTTATTTTGATATGAAATAAACATTATCATCATATTTAATTAGGTATTATTAACCATGTACAATAATAAAGAACCAATTGTGAAAGTTGAGCTAAACAAGTTTTTTGGAATGTTATTAAGCAAGAGAAGTATTTACCGATGATAGTTATATTTTAGTTGGTGAATTGATCATAATTAGAAATATGAGTTATTGAATATTAATTCAGTAATTTAAACAAGAATAAATTCATCATAAGACTTTATAAAGAAAGCATTTGGTCAGATATATTTTTCAAGATTCCCTAGTGTTTCATAGTTAAATATTATAAACTAAATTGAAATATCTGTCTGGTACTTTATGATTTTCAAGATGATGTCAGTCAATGGTAGAAAATATAATGAGATTATTTTATTTATTCGATAAACTTATTATTAGTATATATTAATAGAAAGATACATGATACATATATATGATCGAACAGGTAGAATCAACGAATTCTCTTTTTTTTTAAAAATGTGCTTACTAGTGACTTGCTTCGTGAGGAATTTGTCATAGTTCTAGTGAAAGGCCATGGACAATGAAGTTCAGTCGTTTCCGGTATGAGGCATTCACCTACCGAAGACATTCGGTGAAGTTGGGCAATACCTTGGACTGATTAAAGTTAGGCATTAACACAGTGGTCTAGAGGTTTAACGTTCACGTATGAGATCCTCGATTCAATTCCTTATTGCAGACACCGTAGATGTACACTAGTGATGAGTCTCATTCGAGGACAAAACGGCTATCCAGTGCTTCTAGATTTCTGATAGTAGTCTAACATTGATCGATCCGTAATTTCCATAACTTTATAATAAAAAATAATGTATCAGTTGAAGTAATTAAATCAACAGAACTTGATAAATATTTAAAACTTCGTTAAAGAATTAAGTAGTAAGAATAATTGACTGAAAGAAACCATGGTGATCAAAACCGATTCGAGTAACATTAATAACATTTGTCATAAACTTGTCGACTGGATTATGAATGTGGTTGTATAAAAAAAAACTTTGTGTTTTCTAATACAAATCACCTTTCATTTAACTCTCATCGAATTATTTGACTAGTTGTTCAATTTTCAGTAAAAACTTCACAATTCACGAAACAGTTTCACATATAGATGATTATTTCTACTATCTAGATTCATTTTAACAGTTTATCAAATCTCTTGGATAATTCTTATGAGTTAATAGAAAGGGTATCAATATTATTGGCTCATTCATAAATGTGGGTGTATTTTTTTAGGAAAATTTTAATAATTCGTCAATACCTTTGTCTGACAATTTAATAAACAATGAAAACTGTTTTAGGATTATTTATATATATATATATATATATATATATATATATATATAATTGGTGTAGAGACAAAATGAAAAACTAAATAACAATTCCTTTGCTCTGTTCATCATGATAGCTAATGATATTTATGTTGGACTGTTTATATATATATATATATATATATATATATATATATATATATATATATATCAATTAAGGCTATTAGTTCAACGTCATGTTGATTAAAAACTTTTGATTATGATTATTATTATTACTATAAAGTGCTTATGACATTAAAATCATTTGAGCCTCAATTATTAAAACCAATATTTTGGTGAGAATGTTATGACTACGAATAATATAAATTTGAAATTTAATTATTTATTTAATTAATTTGAAATAAAAAGAAATAATTTTTTTTCAAATAATGTCAAAAGATAAATATGAAAAGACTTTCAGTTTTATGACTAGTTTTTTTCACTATAAATAATCTTAAATTGTACTAAATATGAGAGTCATGATAGTTTAAAGAAATGATCGATACAGTTCTGTTTAACAATTGATCTTTGATTTGTAAATATTTAACTCAAATCGTCATTAGATTAAAACAATGCATCTTGATGAAATCAATATATTTGTATACCAAAACAATCTTATAACTATAATTAATGGGAAATAGTAAAACAAAATAGACGACCAGTGTAGCAGCAGACTATGCAGCAGTAGGTCTCAACATACATAAAGGAAAAAGCAAAATTATCCGATGCAACACAACATGCACCAACCAAATCACTCTTGATGGAGATGCCTTGGAGGACGTTAACACCTCTACATATCTGGGCAGCATCATCGACAACCAAGGTGGATCCGATGCAGATGTGAGGGCACGGATTGGCAAAGCAAGGGCTGCATTTCTACAGTTGAAAAATATCTTCAACTCCAAACAACTTTCAACCAAAACCAAAATCAGGATTTTCAATACAAATGTCAAGACAGTTCTACTGTATGGAGTGGAAACATGGAGAAATACCAAAGCCATCATCCAGAAGATACAAGTGTTTATTAACAGCTGTCTACGCAAAATACTTCGGATTCGTTGGCCAGACACCATCAGCAACAACGTACTGTGGGAGAGAACAAACCAGATTCCAGTGGAGGAAATCAGGAAGAAGCGGTGGAAGTGGATAGGACACATATTGCGGAAAGCACCTAACTGCGTCACGAGACAAGCCCTCACATGGAACCCTCAAGGCAAAAGGAAAAGAGGAAGGCCAAAGAATACATTACGACGAGAAATAGAGAAAGATATGAGAGGAATGAACAAACATTGGACAGAACTGGAGAGGGAAGCCCAGGACAGAGTTGGTTGGAGAAAACTGGTGGGCGGCCTATGCTCCATTGGGGGTAACAGGCGTAAGTAAGTAAGTAAGTAAGTAAAACAACATATATTTATGAAACAGTGAATATATGAATCATGATAGGTGACCAGTAACAACTGAATAGCTGATTAAGGTCGATCAGAAGTTATTACTGTCTCTTTCTCATCAAAGAATCTAGTTAAGCTAAATAAAAAATGTATTTCACATAGTTAAAAAACGACTTTGATTAGTCAACCATTAAAAACTAGAAAGCACTGAAGAACTTCCTAGTATGGGACTACTCTTCAATAGTTCTCATCCACAACCCTCTCCAAGTATTGGAATCCAAGATCTTAAATGCTTAATCTTTAAACTGCTGAATTCATACTAGAAATTAGTAGATTAGGCGAACATATCCGGTAATGTTATCTAATCTAAACAGATAGATTTAACTGTGAAACGCGAGTTATTATTCTACACACTATAATCACTGATCAATTCAAATCTAGATAAAATCTTCCCAGATAAAATTGAAAAAAAACACACTTTAGAAATGCCCGAAAATTCTCAAAAGCCTTACTCTTCCAAATCAACAACGATAACCTATAAAACAAAGATCAACCTAACAAATAAGTCAGTGAAAAAAATCAATACAAAGGAACACAATGATATTCTTGAGGTTGACTACTGGAAAACAACGTCATTAGGACAGATTAAGTTGTAATTCCTTGGAAAATTTCAAGAACTCTCATCTCTTAAAGCTGGATTGTTACTATAGATCGATTACAGTCTTTCATATCAACACAGTATATTATATATATATCTTTCCTGCTCATATTTGGTGTGAATTATTTTGTCTAGAAACAGTAATTCAAGCTTCATAATTAAAACTATTCAACTAAACAGTAGTTTTTAACTAGTCTACTTGTATTCTTCTGTAATCGAAAAAAAAACCCTAAGAAAAGAATCATATTTAACACGTAGATTTCTCTCTATGAAAATGAACTGTGTTTATTGCTATTCATTCTCCTGACAAAACACTGATTGTTCTGTTTATTCTTCAATGTATTTACACAAATATATAAATATTTATAATATTTACACATAACATTGAGAAATTTGACACCAATGTTTATTCTTTACACTCTATGCTATTCAACTACGCTTATTTATTCTTTAAATATTGTTTGTTTTTCTCGTATATAACTTACAAGTGTATAAGAAGACACTAATGAAAACCGGAAAAATGCCTTTTCATTTCCTAATTTATTTTTAATATCTAGAATTATTTGTAATTTATTAAAATTGTCATTTTCACAGTAAACAGATTTTGTTTCTCCTCAAGAATTATATACACAATTTCATCTGTTCTTTTATAAGTATAAAGTAAACAGTAGAAATTAGGTAATTTTTAATTTTCGTGTTATTTACTTAAGTAATTAGTTAGAATTTGTTTTTTTTTCGCAATAGTTTAACAGGAAAGAAGAAAACTTAACTGTTGGTTATGAAAATGAATTGAGTAGTATTCTGAATTGTTTACCCTGATTTGAAAACTTTTTGTTTAATGAAAAAAAGATTAATCTGAAAAGTATTAAATAACTGATTTTTTTTTAAAAATTTATTTGTCGAGATTTATATTACCCTGTTTGTTAGTACTACAGACCAGTTGAACAAGCTAGTAACCAAATAGAATTAATAGTTTAATGAACCAATGTGTTGACATTTGAAATGAAAGATGATTGGTTCCTAGTCCCTGTTTTGAAAATCAGCACTAGCCTTCAGGTAAATCAAGTTTACGTATTCCAAACAAAACAAGCGCTTTGGATTCTAATTCAACGTACAATCCACCTATTTTATATAACTTAGTAATATTAATCATAGACTTAAACAAATTTTCCTAAATTCCATTAAAAAAATCAT